GTGTTTTATTGGAGGCTTTAGAATCTGACTGGTTTTGTATGTATTTTTTCCCAAGGTAATCTTATTTTCTTTTTTATCTCCCTCTAAAGACGATGAAAGTCAAATGCCCTTAACAACAGTCGTCTTCATCTCCCTTCAAGATTTCTTAGCATATAATTCATGATACTAGGTTTTGGGGTTTTTTTTCTCCCAATTTGGTGAAGCAGCACGAACTACAAAACGCACTTGGCGGGTAGCTCCACCGTGAAGTTCTCATTCAGCTTTTTGGAATGCAAAGATGAGGAAAGTTTAAATCTTTCTGAAAACTATTGAAGAAAAATAATATTAAAAAAAATTCAGTAGGATTTTTCACATGTTTATACACAACAGCACATCTTCTGCCAATCTTTTCTTCAAAATTGATAAAATTACTGCCTTTTTTTTGTGTTGTTTTATCCTGGTACAAAGTAAAGAACTCAGATCTGAAAACAGATTTTAATTAAATCTGATAATAATTTGTAAGTACACACTATGCTTTTTGGAAGTGGTTTTTTTTTCTTTTTAGCATGTTTTCCTAAAGAAAAAAGCTTATGTGATCATCCTGTCTTCCTATCCATCTGTCTTTCTGCAAGTTCTCTCGGCACAGTTTTAATCTCTTGGACATTTCAGCCCAATTTGGCAAAGAGGGGCCTCAAAGGTATCGTACATTTGTAATGACTATTAATATTTATGTATTTCTAACAGGTTTTGTGAAAATTGATGGTCAGAGGAGACTGTCTTGTTCTGGCAAAAGAGTTCATCCAGTTGACCAGACAGCGTGTGTGTGTGGACTGCCCCACTTAACACACAGGTGTTATCAGGTCAGCTACGGTACGTGGTGCCTTTTGCCTCACCAGCTGCCCAGGGGGCTGCGTAGGGGCTGTGAAAGGCTGAGGGAGTGCTGCAGTGGGGGGTTTAGAGGTGGGAGAACTAGGACATTTTGAGGACAAGGGAGAGGCGTAGGGGACGTGCTGGGCGTATATTGATATCTTCAATTTTGGTATTTGATATTGTAGGGCTGTTGTAGGAGATAGGAAGAACAGCGGAAATTATTACGATGGGAACTGAGAGACAGCACAAACCTTGACCATTCAAGTATCAGTTATTTCATTGCTCTTGGGACAACTTTTTGTTCACTTACAGGAGAAATTTCATCTGATTTATGGTGTCTTTGCAGTCTGCGCGACCAAGGCTTGAAACTTCAAACTAACTTGCTGTTGCGTTAATTCAGACTTGTGCTGGGTTCCTGGCTGCATGACTGAGAGCTGATTTTGCTCTCCAGAGAGCTGGATTAGTCCTCTGAGATGCACATCACCACTTCGACAGTTCTGGGAGGATTCTTTCTGAAATCGGTTAGTATGAGCTGTTTTTGTTGGTGTAGACTAAATTCTTCCCTACGGGATGGCTAGCAGATCTGGAGAAAGTCTGTTCAGCTCGCAGATAGAAGTATTTGTACTGGCATGTTGTATAGATGTGTATATAGACTCTTGACTGGCAAAGGACTAGAGAAGGGAAGTAGGGAGCTGGAGAAATACGGGGCCTTCTCTGTCCCCAAAGATGGGGAAAATGGCACGATCCGGCTCAAATGGCTGAGGGCTGTGTATCCGCGCTCTCTGGCCCGCACACGCACAGGGGCAGCCTCCGCTGAGCAGGTGACTTCCTATGGCCTAACTGCAGTGAAAAACAAATGAGAAGTATGGCTCTCCACAGCCCAGACAAACTGGCCTGGGAAAACAAAAAAAACTCCCACTTACTATTCTGCTCATGAGCTGCTGCCAAAACTCAGCTGTGAGGAGAATAAGAGCATCTTTTTAAAAATGCAAAACTGACATTTTTTTTCCTCTGAGCTGCTCTTACAGCCTTTAAAGCGTTAATTTCAAAAGCTTCGCAAAGGCAGCAGGCATCAAACGGTCCAGGCTGAGTAGAAGCTTGGGGAGGAGAACTGCAAAGTAAGTTGTGTGGGTGATGGCTGCTGACACACCGAAGCAAGGTTATTTGATTGTTACAAGTCACTGATCATAGCTTGCTTTTAACGATAGAGCAGCAGAGAAGAACAGTTAGAGCAGCCCAAAGAGCCCTGGATTCATATAGCCTGAATTTCAGCTACATCTTTTGGCTCGTGCTTGTGTTGGCTGGGTGATTCTTGGCTTGGGAGTCAGGAGATGCGAGTTTTGACTGCAGTGCTGCCACTGACATGCCCTGTGACCTTGGATAAGTCACTTCATCTCCGTGCTTCTCCTCTCATCTTTTTGCCCACTTAGAATCTCTCTCCCTTTTTCCTTGCAGGGTCGTTCCCTAATTATACGTCTGGACCACGCCTAGCACAATGGAGCTGTGCTCTCAGGTTAGGCACTGCTATAATCTGAATGAACAATAAAGAAATACTGCACTGAGCACTTCACTAGGACTCAACCTGTTATCTCAGGCTTTCACCGATAACCTTAATAAAATAAAAGTCCTTCAAAAAACTAAGCGTTCCTGCCTACTGCTCAATTGCTTGCTTTTTGTGTAGCATCTTGAACATGAAAAAGCATCAATTATGATCCCTGGGTTGTCAGAAAATAATGATTTATAGTATTTCATGCTTCCTGAAATATTGGTAACACATTTTTTCTTCCTGAAATCTCAGCGGTAGCTTCAGTACTTCACTGTGCCTAATTTTTGTCAAACTGAATTATAAAACAACATGCCGCTATAGATCTTACTCATTTTGATATTTTTTCCTTAACTGTGCTCTTTTGTGTAGCACAAGAACCTACTCTTTTGTAGGTTCATGTGTCTGAGACTAGGGACAAAGCCTCCTCCAGAAAGAATTACACAGTACCTCTGAAATCTACTCTGTTTTATCCCCATAAGGGTTATAGGAACAAGTTTTTGGCTCCAGGAGAAACAGCTGTCTAAGAGAATTTACTACTTTGTGATCGAAGTGAGAATCAAAGAATAATTCAGGTTGGAAGGGAGCTCAGGGGGGGACATCTACCTCAATGGCATACCCAGAATTTTGGATTATGAGCTCAACTTGGGTGAAAAAAAGCCTTATTTATCTGTGAATCACGTCAGGAATCAGCAGGACCGAAGTGAATTTCAGGTTCTGCCCTTTTGCATTCTAATGAAGGATTGGGACCATTATGTATCCATTTTCTTAGAAGCAATTACAGTCCTACAAGCTCAGTCCACTTGAAATAAAAGGAACTAATCTGTATTTGAGTAGAAGGTTGAGAATTTATTTGTTAATAATTTTAAAGCACTTCAATTGTGCTGAGGCATCTTCACATTCCAAGCAATTTATGTATTTATTTGGATTCATACACCAGTGATACTTACATGATATCAGGCCATAAGTTATGTGCATAAATTAAACATGGATGATGGAGCCACAAGAAATGAGTCATATTTTTTTCTATAAAGAGCAGCAGGAGGTAATTCTTTCGATAAGAAATTCAGAAACCAGCTCTGCATTAACACATAGAATTGTACTCAGAAATCAAATAAATTATTCCCATATTCAGCTAAGATCAAGTAACTCACAAACATAGATGGTGTTAGAAGGACCGAGCAGAATTTATTCATGCTGTAAAGGCTCACATGCATTCATTCTATTTAAATTTGTCAAAGGAAAATCATTCTGCAAGTGTACTAATGAGAAGTTCTGTAAATGTTATTGACCATAACGGGATCTTAAAAAAATCTTAATTTACTAATCTGCAGCTTTACAGTGTTTCCCCATGTTCAAGGTAGTATAAGATTTGTGCCTGGTTCTGACAAGTAAGGGAATCAGCATACGTAGAGAAACTGAAGTTTCTTGTTTGTCTGCTTGTTTACAAGGAAATAGAGCAACGGAGCTGGAATTATTTTTTTTAACACCCAAACCTCATACTTATTCATCTGAACCAACGTGTTTCAACACGCCACTGAAAAAGATAAGAGTTATTGTTAGCTATTTCATGTCTGGGTAAAAATAAAGCGGGGAAAATCGCAGTATGTTTTCTTAAATGGCCAAAAAAGGGAAAAAGCTAAAAGCAAGCCTAGAAACCGGGCCAGTGGGTGCTTTATTTAGTGGTTCTTTTTCCATTAGCTCACCCTGCTTTTGTAAACTTTGGAGAGGAATGCCATGTTATAACAGTAACATTTGCTTTGCTTGTACAGTTACATATGTGGGTAATGAAAAACAGCTGTACTTTGTGAGCTTGAAATATAATTAACTGGTGGTCTAAAAGGTAAATGGTTTCTTCTAATTACGTCTAAAAACCAGTCATGAGCCAAGCCAAGTGATTTATGTAGAGTAACTGTAACAGATATCTGAGTAAATATATAGAGGCTATCCCTGCTTCCTTCTGTTATTTTAAAAGTATTAATTGTAGATCCTTTAAAATATTTTCAATAAAATTAAATTTTGGAAAAAACGTAGCATTTCAGTGAAGCCAAAGGCTTTGCTCTCGGATCCTGGCTCAAGAGGAAGGAAAGGCAAGTTCAAGTTTTCACTGCATCAGCTTCATACCAAAATTTGTCCTCTCACATCACTCCAGGCTAGATATGTGAACTTAGTTTTCCACATTCCCATGCAGTCCTCCCCAGCCATTTACAAACTGACTGCAGGACAAACAGAAAAAGCATACAAAATTTCCAAATTTGGATATTTCAATTAAACTCAATTATTAGCTTTCGGTTGGCAATCAAGGTATTTTTTGCACAGTGAACAAAGCTACTAATTTTTTCCTTGGCTTTTAAAAAAGATTTTGTCAAATTACAGACGCGAATGCTTTGATACGGAAATGCCCTGAGGTGCTCCGTACCTTCATTGCCCTCTCCAGGCTGGGTTTTCCAGCCGGACTAAATTTCACAACGTGCACCAATTACTAATTTTAGCAAACTGTGCCTCAGCAGTTAAGCTGAGCCTTCAAAGGATCCCCACTTTGAGTTCCTCTGAGTGTTCGGAGTGGCATGTCCCCATCAAAATGTGCTTTGCTTGGGACATAGCTCACCAGGACAAAAGGGACGGAGTATTCCACAGACAGGAGACGTCCTTTCAGTAAAAATGAAAAGCTGTTCAGTTTTAAATTGAAGCTTTCCATAAAAACAGTTTCAGTGGAAAATTTTTGGACGAGCCCTAAATAATAAGTTTGCCAGGAAAAAGGGCAGAACAACATTTGTTTATTGACCATATAAGCACTTATCTTTGTTGAAGTCTATATGGGTTGGAAATGTCTACTGTAGACTGAACAACTGTAGAGTCTTAGTTCAGTCGCTGAAATTGCATAATGTCATTTGCGTAATCACTCCCATACCAGTAACTACTTGATACCTCCGCAGCTACAGTGGTAGTTTTGTTGAATGCATAAAAGAGGAATTACAGAACCTGCTTCTCCTCCCTTCTCGGTTCCCTGTCGATAGGGAAGGGGCCCATTATCTGGGGCAGGCACCCAGGGATGCGCACTTCAACAAAGGGTTATGGTCCGTGTTCATTATATGCAAATTTGCTAGAACATTAATCTGCTAGGCATTAACATAATATCAATTGGTGCATCAGGGTAATTCTCATCTGTTCCAAAACATTCCTCGTGTAAGCAAAACAGTTTAGCTACGTAGAGAAATCATGAACTAATTCATTTTGGATCTAACCGTATCAAAATCAGCAAATATGAACCAGAGTTGAATATGACCTGATTATATCTGCAAAAAACCACTGCCTTACAGGCAGTTTATTCATTTAAATAATCAAATTAAACAAGATAGTCCTAAATGCATCTTGCTTAACTTGATTACTTAAATAAGCAGCCATCTGGCATGAATGACACAGATGAAGTTCTTCCTTAAATTTTTCTTCTTTTCATTTTTCAACACCAGAACTGTTTTGCATCTTGTGCTTATTTCGTGTTATTTCTCTGCTAGAGTATCTTTACATAGAGATTGGGGGCAGAAGTTAATAGAGATTATAATACAAGTACAAGCTGAACTCACTGTGTCTACAACTGGATACTGATCAGCTGAAGGGAGTACATTAGCATCCCTATTTATACAATTATTTTAGCCACAGGAGAATCCATTTGTTGCTAGAGGAATACAGCTGAAATCTATCAGGATTAGAAGGCAAGGAAGGCTGAGTAAAAAACATAGCAAGTTGAAATAATCCAGTTCTCTATTTGAGGTCAGGGTCCTAGCTTTGTTAAAAGTATTTTTGTCTTTTTGTAAAAGAAACAAACACTTTTAACTATTCTTTATTAAACAGAAAATGCTTTTGGGGTTACAAAGCATTACTTAAGGTCTTATTCTGAAGGCGTGTGTGTTTCAGAGCTGTTTTACACATGGGAACTGTCCTACTGACTTTGAAGGGATAAAAGGCTTGAGAAAAGTTATATATGCAGAAGAGTGCTTAAGAATTGGAACTGTCAGTGGGCTCATTGGTTAGTACCTGCACGTATTTTTGCTTAGAGCTTTAGGTAATTATAGTTACAAGAATTGTACTACAGTAAAATTAGTAAGAGCAAATTGTGTTTAATTGGGGTGGAATGTTTTTTACAATGACCTTATGTAGAGTCTCCTGCTTACAAATGTGTCCTGTGCTCTGCAGTATCTTGAGAAGAGAGGACCCTCAATTTTGATACTTGTGTAATATATGTAGGAGCAGAATGCCCAGAAGTTGATTCCTGTGCCTTGAGGATGCAGGCCTGTGGAGCTTGACCTAGTTTTCAGCCATTAAAAAGATCAACACATGTCAAGCCTGATAGTTGGGTCTCTAAGATATTCCCAATATTGATTTCCACCACACACCCTCAGATCCCACCCTCTTTGCTATGTGACTTTGGAAAGCCCACGTGTATGGGTGTTGCTGTGGTATTTACACGATACATGCCCTGGCGTTGTCAGCTGGATAATGTGCTCATCTGCCAGCTGTATTTTGCTGTGTGTGACCTGACTATCGCTATTCCCTTCCCTGACTGCTCCCGTGTTGCAGGTGGAGGACTGCCCATGTAGAAAGGTATAGCAGCTTATGTGGGAAGTATTGGCAGTAATGGCTGTATTTGCATTTGCGCTACAAGTGTGTGATGAAGGAGGAGAGTTGTTAAAATAATACTTTTTCCTTTGTCTCAACGTGCAACATATGGCAAACTTATAAGATACTCAGTGTGGGCAGCTGCGTGTGCTGGCAAGGTGACTTAATGAGGAGTTAAGATTCCTGCATTTAGTATTTGCCTCCTTCTACCCAAAAACCTTTAAAAGTCATTTCATTTCTCTGTGCTGCCATTTTCCCTCCCACCTGTTACCTTGTCAGGTTAGCCAGCAGGCTCCCTGAGGACTTTTCACTGCGGTTCACTTGATGTTCATACAGCGATGTTCATCATGGGGATATGGTTACCATGGCATGAAAAAGGGCTGTCCATCAACTGAGCCATAGTCCCTGACTGCACAGCCACTCCTAACCTGTGGGACGCATGAGGAAAATGTTTTAACGTAAACCTAAATGAAA